CCCTTGTGAAAATTTCTCCCTGGAGACCAACGAATCGCCGTAGTTCTGTGTTCCGTCGGACGAAGAACAGATGGATCCCGACAGGTATTCTATACTTTATATATCCACTACATGGCTTATGATTTTGATTATCATACATATAAAGGAAAATTTTGAGTGTTATACGCAAACTAATGAAAATGGTGTTTTGGGTTCCGGAACGATCATAATAGCTATAGAAGCTTAATTAGTCTTTCTTAGTGGTTTGTTACATTCAAGTTCGGACCTTTCTGTTTGTCTTTCTTTATCACATACAAGTTGAGATCTTGCTGTTTCAGGATGCAGAATCATTACCAGTGCCCCTCTAGATTAATTTGAGAATTAAAGTTTACATTTTTCTGATAATACATCAGATAGTTTCTTAGAGTTTGAGCCAGTGCTTTGATTTTCGAATTGCCTAGTTAAATTCTCAGAAAGGGGACTTGCACCAGGTCTTTTGTTGTTGTTCTGAACAAATTTGACAATTTTACTCAATCATTAGGTTAAATTCTCCAAGCACCTGTACTATAACCCTTGAGGTTTTGGGGCATGAATTAAACTTTGCTCAGGTATGACTCTTTATATTCCTTGAATTCTTACATTTATACTTGATACATATAGTTGAGATCGAATGAAGTCCCGGCTGTGTTTTTTCACCTTTTCGATGTTTTAGTCCTTCCGTTTTATTACTTTTTTTAATCTATGTTACATCTTCGATGTCTTATGCTTCTAATCTTTTGTCATGATGCCACAATTTTACATGGTAGGATCCGAATTCGAAGCATTTAGGAACAACCGTGTGGGATGCGTCCATGGTGTTTGCCAAATATCTGGTATGATCCTTCTTGAATGCAAATATTATCTATCCTCAGAGATTAATCTCTTGGAGTGTGTATGTAGATTGGTCGAACTACTATACATACATGTAACTAGGGGCTGACTTATTCATTATTGATTTTTGGTTAGTCTTTAATAGGTTCGGAACCGGTAAACTTGGAATAACTCTTTTATTTAACAAGGGAAGTCTCTAAATCTTGACCAATGCCAAAACGAAAACCAAGATCCTAAACCAGTCCATAATGATTTCACTGCATTCTCCTTAATGCTTCAGCTGTCAACTAACTGTAAAGTCTAATTCTGAACTCGCAAAGCTAGAGTTCACTGCTCAACCCCTAGCCTAGTTACAATAGTCCTGCACTAGACTCAACATATAAGCCTTGTCAGACTTCTTGATGCTGTAAAAAAATTCAGGGGAAAAATTGCAGGAAGGGAAGGTTCAGTCCGTCTAAACTGAAAGGGAAACGTGCTATTGAGCTAGGAGCGGGGTGTGGCGTTGCAGGATTTGGTATGTACACACATGTATGTATTGATATATTGAGGATTCTCGTTTCTTATGTATGGCTATATATCTG